CCTTCGAAACTGACAACAGCCCTGTAAAGCCGGACTCCCCAGGAATTTCCTGGCAGGAAAGGGAGTAACTTGGCAAGCATCATTATCATCAGCATCATAATGCTACAACAGACCATGATAGTAAAGTCGATGAATATCCTTACGATTAATTTGATAGTTGGACTTCAAGATCAGTGATATGACTCATGAGGGTGTTCTGGTGTAGAGGTAGGAGATTATTCACAAAACGAGTTAAGAAGGATCTTCAGGATCTCCATCGGCACCTCATTTTCTCAGATCAATTGAATACTACTATTACTTTGATGCAATGATCATTGTTGTACTAACATTTTGGATGATAATGACCGATAGTGCAAGATCTGCTGACTCTAGGAAGAACATTAGATTGGTATTCTCATTATGTCGTGGTCCGGATTTATAAGATAGTATTGAAGATAGGTACGTCAGATTTTGTGATATTTCTGACTGGGAGAAATACATCGACTCTGACCGAGTCGATGAACCGGAGTTATTCCATTAACAGACGAAAAATGCGTCTCAGTGGAGCCCCACAATTACGGTGAGTGCGAAGCACTCCTCTGACACAACTGTCCTGACCCCCTGGTCTGTGTGACGCTATGAACAAGGCTGAGTACGTCACGATTGAGTATATCAAGCTAGAATCTAAGATGTAAAGTCGTTCTGTCTTTGTCTACTACACTTTATAAATGCATCAGTGTAGGCACGGTTTGTTTCCACCAATTTTCTTTAACCTTCCTACAGGGGAGGCTGGTAGCGGCTAGCCCAAAGAGGCGTTGTAGTGAGCACCAGCTCGTTGCCTTCAGATGCTAATGCACTGCCAGACGCGGTCTCACCCAACTCCCTCGTGGAAGAACACCACTCAACTGAGTGACTGAAAACTCTGCCCTGTTCTAAACTAAGTAGCTGTTGTGTTTACTATCCCAGGCGAAACGGTGCGAGAATTTTACAGGATATAGTTATATTCTTACTCTATTTATTGAAGCGTTTGGTGTGTTTTCATATATCCAGTACTATTCCGTTCCGGTTTCCGGATTTAACCCATCTGGTTGGGATGTGCTTCCGCACGTTAACATAAGTCACACCGGGTAACAACCTCTCAGCATACTGCTCAGGAACCTGGTTCTGATTTTACCCATTTGCGAAGCTTTTGATTTAGGGCTTATGCACCCTCGTGGTCGTGATTATCTTTAATGAATTCTTTCACATGATCTACGCGTTGCTGCTGCCAAGATACAGGTTCGGGCTGTGTTTTCGATTCTCGCCTTGGCGGTCTTAGCCATTTTGAATATTCAGGTATCCGTGATCTTTCATCTGCAGGGTTCTCGCCACCAGCTATATATTTGAATGTGACGTATTTCCAATTGTATGAGGGCGTCTATCATTTGTAGACGGCCCTCTGCTGCAGCTGATGCAAGACCTTTGGATGCTACCCAATAGCGAGCTTTTCCCAGAAAAAATTGAGGTAATATCGGTTTGCTAGCAACATACGCTGTCGATGCAAGACCACTCTGAATTGCTTAAGCTCTTACCCAAGGGAAGATTAAGTCATTGAGACCTCTCAAGGCTGCTCCTAACTCCACTGTATCGATTCGTCGAATATTCCTCGCGTCTCGTAGCCAAGATCTATCTCCCCCCAACTGCGATCTACAGTATAAAATTTATATTTTGGATCGAAAAGTATAGTGTTTACTTTTCGCGATTAAGGCTTGTTTAACAAGCTCCAATTGCGTCTGCGGAAGCATCCATATACCAAGACCACTGTAGTGGGGGATTCACCTAGAAGAATCCGGACGCTGCATCATCTCGCAGTCTGGGTGTAATTTGTGCGCTTTCACTACTATATCATCAGGCAGAGGATAATGCGAGGCCACACCTTCATTGACAGCGACACTCAGCCTTTCTAGTGCTCTGGCTGCCGGCGCGAGCCATCCTAACACAGGATAATGAAATGACGCTATCGTGGCCACCCGCGAACGGAGGTTACGATACGTGAAGCCAGCAAGTGATTCACTCAACGCCGACTGGGTTATGATTGAGTCACTGCATTCTGAATCGGCAAGACGAACGAGATTATGTTCTGTTTGAGTCAGCAACATAGCAAAGTCTAACATATGAAATCGGCTTGCGAGATTGCTTCAACGTCATCCTTGCCTTGGCAAGAGATGTACGCGCTTCAATCGTGTGGTTAGTCTTGTTGCAGGACTTACATCGCTTCACTTCCTGCATGGGTGCGCGACTTGTGATTCCTCTACCTTTCTCGTTCTGCCACCCTTACCTTTGCCGTTCTGCCACCCTGACCTTTCCAGAGCTTGAGAACAAGTCGTCGCACACCAGGTGCGGTTACTCGTGGTCGTCTTAAATAGTCTAACGAAACCTAGCATGAGTTATTATTTGATCATAGGATTTGGTAGGATCGAGGCAGACAGGCTTCATGGCACAACTGATTGGATGGTCATGAGACAAGCTACTGTAGAAGAACAATTTCATGATCTCACTCTGGCATTGCTTACACCTTGCCGCATAAAACGCTCAATGCAGTCGCATACTCATCAACCATTGAAATTGGCACTTTTCAAGCTAGTAACGACCTTTTCAGGGCTAAAACCAAACCGTTTCTGCAGCCCAGATCGCAGCTGAGCGAGATACCGTTTCCCAGAAACATCGATGGATTCCTGGCAGGAGTCCATCGATCTTGGCAGGAATCTTCTGCTCTCATGAGACCATCTTGGCTGCTCGATATGCCCCTCCCGACACCGATAGCTTGAGTAGCACGTACCAAGCTTTTTAAACTATTCTTCTACATTTTCATCAGCGCCATCACTGAACTTCACGGCATGCTTACGAAACTAAACCGTCCGTCGCGCCTTCGAAGCCTCAACTAGGGATGATGGGCTGGTATCGTCCGATACCAGCTCATGCTTTTCACCGGCTCTATCTTCAACAGGCTTACTAACCTCTCTCTGAGAACGCTCTGGATTATCTAGCTGATTATCACTGTGCTAGCTCGAACCATTATCGCCTGTAATACAGACGTTGAAAGCGAGACATTGTATACAGACTCTGTATACAATGTCTCGCTTTCGACGAGTGACCAGTGGTGCAGCTAATATAGCTTAGATCAATAGCTTTATCAGCTAGAATCGAACATAGCTTGGTTTAAGAGTCGAACCCAAGAATAGATCATAACACCTTTGGATTTGTGGATATAGAGTTCAAAGACGTGGCCTAATTTTGATCAAAAGAATCATGTTTTGATTCTACTCACCAGCCTAGACTTTGCACTCCACTCACCCACTTCATGTAGACGCTGGACACGCTATCATTGTTCATATCCAGACATAAGTTATGTCACATAATGATGTCACTGTCAGCTGGTTGTACAGGGTCCCGATGCAGCGGGCGTCTGTTGTCATTATAGCGGTTTATAGAACCATAAGCGCCGTGGTTAACCTACTCAGGGGTGCGTCGAACGGTGAGGATCAAATCGTACAGTTGCAGCTCGCAGAATGTCTACTCATGTACCACTTCGTGTACTTGCAACTGATACAGTTTTGGATGATACACCTTTGATTCGTGCACTACTGGAATCCAGTAACTGGATCATCTTACTTTGCTCGGTACAGCATCATATCTTACATACAGCATCACATCAGTAAAATGGTGACACACTTCCATATACAGTCTCGTTTCGAACCGTCTGCACGTACCACGTGCAGTGTCCGCTTATTGTCAGCGAACACAGTGTAAATCAGTACGTTGCTATGTCAATGACATAATGTCATGCATGCATGTCTGGTACTCTGCAAATCCCTACGCCATATTCTCGTGCAGCTGTGACTGGTACACACTACTTCATAAATCATTAAGTTCGTACGTGTTTTATTTCGTCAAACTCTGGCTTTGTACAGACGAAAATTTTTTGATACGATATTTCGCGCTGCGCGAAATATCGGGGCAAACATTTCTCGCGTGTAGTAGTAAGACTATTGCACTCAGCCTTAGCATACTGTGTTCATGTAACTTGCATGTACAAGACGTGCGCTTTTAAGAAACGTCTGGCGTCTCGTCTCCCCTTTTATTGCAGTCTACTTATTACTCATCTTTTACGCTTTACACTAGACCAACCGGTTCTGGTTGTGTTAACCAAGTATGACTCCAAACCCTAAGAGAGCACGCGTCCCTTTAAGCCACGATGGTGCATCATCCGAGAAATCGAGCACTACTGACGCCTTCAAGTTCCTTACCCGTGTGGTGAACGATTCCCTAACTCGTGGAGACTCCTCTGAAGGATCCTCCTCAGCCCTGTCCGAGTCCGAGTTGAGGAAAATGGAACAACCTCTTATGGGCATTATGTGTCTCCTTGGTGTCGAAGCCTTCGCTCCCTATGGTATGGTCCCTGGTTTGCAGCTTACAGCCCCTTCCGATCGTAAACTGGCTCTCGATACCAGTACTTGGCTCAAAGCCTGGGGTTTCGAGGGAGGTAAATGGTCCCGTGGTCTTTGGACCCGCCTTCGCCATCGTCTGTCCCTTGCTAAGCTTGCTGCTCCGTTGTGTATATGCCTGGTTATTGCCGTCTTACCCGAGAATCTCGCTTTGCAAGCGTTTGAAATATGTCTAGCTCACAGGCTCAAGTTGAGTCAGTGGTCTGAGATTGTTATCCCCGAGGAGGGAGCGCTCGAAGACGAAGCAGAGATGGCAAAGAAGACCGGCTTATGGCTCAGCGAGTGCTGTGAAGTCTACAAGGAACTCAAAGAGTTCCTTGATAGTCAATTCGAGCCCGAGGACAGTTCAGTGTTTCTTGAGCGATGGGTTTCCCTACAACCTTTAGACTGCCCATCTTGGACATCCTTATGTGCCAGTGAGAGAAAGCTCTATGCCGAGCTTGATGCTGTCCATCTCGGGGCTTGCCCTTGGTCTTTGCGCCTGGATAGACTCTGTTCCCATGTGTCTCAGTATCGACGCTTCAAGGAAGATATCGGTCTAAGAAGCTCGCTTCTATCCGAGCTCAAATCCGCTGATGACATCACCAATTTCGATGATATACTAGATGAATGGCGTAAAGACTATCACCCCCTTACATTGGATCAAGTGTTAGGACCTCCTATTGGCCGGAAGTCTGAGGATTCGTCGTTCTTCAAGAACCCGTCAAAGACCCAATCGTTTTCAAGCCAAGGACAACCGCAGGAGGCAAAAAATGAGACCAAGCCATGTCGTTACTTCAACCGTACCGGTAACTGCAAGCATGGTGACAAATGCAAGTATTCCCAGTCCCAAAGATGACTGTCAACCTACCGAGTCCAAGAAGCTCGTCAAAGCCGAAGATAATGCCAGTGAACGTCAAACCATCTCGTGGAGTCTGTCGTGAATTTCAACAGCAAGACAAATGCTCTTATGGAGCATCTTGCAAATTTAGTCATGATGACCCACCTTTACGCCGATCTGAACGTCTTCAGGGACAAGCCGAATATAAGAAAGTTCCAGCGTTGCTGTCGTCTCTGCTGAGTTCAAGCCTGAACGTGATCCGGCGGAACTTCCTTTAGTCTGCGCATCTGTAAATGTTGCGGGAGGGCAAGTTGCGCTGCCTACCACCGACGACAATGACGACTTACGCTGCGTTGAAGCGCAAATCTGTTTGGACTCAGGCAGTCAAGTGAATTTGGTTTCAAGATCGTTTGTCGATCATCATGGTCTGGTTGGTACTCCTCAAGATAAGCCGTTCAGTCTGCGAGGTATAACCGGTGACAGTCTCACAGTAGAAGATGTAGTAGTATTACGAGTATCTCTGGGTAACTTGTACTCTGACGTGAGGTTTGGTATTGGTATATTCCTTGCCTCACGGTGCCGACTTACTCCTTAACCATGAATCCTCACAGAAACTACGGGTTCCGCCAGCTCCACACTGCGAAAATAAAAGCTGGAAAGAGATCGACCGGATCATCTTGGAGAATGTTTCTATGGAGCGGGAACCGATCGAGGCAGCCCCAGGATTCTCTATTCGTTTGAGAGAATTATCTGCGAAGGAAACCAAGGAGTGCCCTAGTCAAAGGTTCTGCTTTGATGTTTCGGTTTCCCCGCTGGTCGCCAACTCTGAGTCTGATAACAACGATTCTCCTTGGCCTGGCAATGTCGTGGACTTCGGATTCAAGATCTACAATCGATTGAGCTTGGCCGAGAAAGAGTCGTACGATAAGGCTGTGAGTAAATTTGTCGAAGCCGGCTACTGGGTGCCGATCGATGACGATGCTGTAATCCGTGACACCGCTGCTCCAAAGGTGGTCAGCTTCCCTGTTAAGCAGGTTGACGACTCCGTTCCTGACGGTCCTACTAAAGTAACCAGTTTCAAAGTTAGACCGGTCATTCAGGCCGTTGGAGTCAATCGTGTTATCAAGGCTGGAGGGGCTAGAAAAGCTTCCTACTCCGGCGACTCTGTTCCTGAGATCCTACTGGGTCTCCGGTTAAATTTTTCTCGTGCTGGAGAAGGTCACTTAGGCCTTCTCTCCCTCGATGTTGGTAAAGCTTTTTATCGCTTCCAGCTGATGGCACGGTCAGATTCAAATGGAGATGCAGTGTCATCCCTTGGTTACCTCTATATCCGAGGCGCAGGCCGATGGTATCGATGCGATAGGCTTGCATTCGGACTTCTGCACGGTCCGGCTTCGCTCCAATCCGGCATGTCTACTCTTCTCCGTCTCGCCGGGAAACTGGAACCTAGCCTCGCAGAGTTGCCAGTTTACAGCTTCTATGATGATATATTGGTTCTTATTCCTATCAATAAGGTTCCGCGCTATCTCTCTACTATTTTACCTCTAGCTGAACGGGTCGGTTTGGTTATCCCTTCCGATCAAATCGCTCTTCTTAGCGATGCCGCACATAGTGTCTGCGGCACTACCTGTGATGCTGGGTGGGGTCTACGTCTCGGCAATCTGATGCGCGTTAGGCGGAATAGCCTTCACATCAGGTGTTTGGTCAAGAAGATCGACTTCGTCAAGAAGTTTGAACTTGTAGCGGGCAAGACCACCCGGCGAGATGTGCGCAGGCTTACTGGATTATCTCAAGCCGGGAATATTCTTCGTCTGCATCCAGTGCGAGCCTTAGCGTCTTCAGCTGTTAGCAAGATCGTAGCTCGACTTCCTCCTTTGGGTGAATGGGATTCTCCTTCACTTTTATCTGAAGACTCAGCTCAATATTGAGATCTGAAGCATGTTATCGACTTGCTCAAAACTAGTCTGTTGGAGAAACAATGTATACACCCATGTGTCGATGAGTCCGCTAACCATCTCGAACTTCACTGCGACGCGAGTCAATATAATTATGCCTATCAAATCTCTATCGGTGGTACCGTTCTTGCGTCGGGTTCCAAGCTCTGGCCTAATGGAGCCGAGTCTTGGCATTCTAATAGACGCGAGCTATATTGCCTTTATCAGGGTGTAGCCCATGTCGATGATGTCGTACGGGTTGCCCACGGTTGGTTGAAGACGGTTACATGTCACAGTGATAACAGTGGAGTTGTCGCTTGGTTGCGTAGTGGATGTCCGGGTAGCAAAGGAGTAGAGCGACCCTCTATCCGTCGCCTAGTAACTACCGTTAAAGATCTAGTGAGGGATTGGAATACTCATTACTCGATTTCAACTTCCTTCGATTTCGTAAGTGGTACCTCCAATGCCACCGCTGATACTTTATCAAGGTTAGCCTATGATCTTGGTATTACTGCTGCTCTTGGCCACACTATCGATCAGCCTACAGTATTGGTGACTACTGAAGTGGGATATAACAATTCGTCAAATCGCCCCGTGAAGATTGATTTAGGCGACAAGTTCATCTCCGACGTGAAACTCCGTACCGATTGGTTCCCTCATTCATCGGACACTCACAACGATGAGTCATGGGTCGGTGAGAGCCTTTCGTCTATTCTACTCAACGGAGTTCCTGATGAGCTAACTAATAGACTTCATATTCTAAAAGATGATGATGGCGCTCTACTCACTGTATCCCTCAAATCTTTGGGCCCTAGAGTGTATATCCCGCCAGATTCGGACCGCGAACAAGGTTGCGACCTCCGTTCCCAGTTACTTCGTAGAGCTCATGATACCGCAATCGGTCATGTCGGTGTCACTGGCATGTCAGCGGCGTTGAAGGCTGTAGTCTGGTGGCCAACTATCTCCGGTGACATTGCCCGGTTCGTGCGAAATTGTCTCGGCTGTGCCCGAGAACGTGCCCGTCACATTGCTCCGTGCGGGTACTCGGAAGTCGTCCGTTCCAGACGTTGGGACACTGTCTATATAGACTTTTGTGGACCTGTCGATGGTTGGACCTACACATGCCCAAGCTCTAACACCGTCATCAGGCCTGCCAGCGTATTCGTGATAATTGATACGCTCACAGGATGGATTGAGCTTTGTCCATGCTCTGATCAGACTGCTCATACTGCTGGCAGGTTGCTTCTGGAGAGGTGGATATCACGTATCTTTGGAATACCTACTGAGCTGAGAAGTGATAGAGATCAAGCATTTCTGTATTCTATACAGTCTCGCATATGCCGCTTGCTGAATATTGATCAAGTCTTTTCCGGCGGATTATCTCCCGCATCGCAAGGAGTGGTCAAATCCGCTGTGCGATCCCTGAAACGGCATTTGGAAAGATCGTTTACTACTGATCTTACTTTATTACTTTGGTTGCAGCGTTCGCTGAATGCAGCGCGTAAGTCCCATGCTGGGGCTCTACCGGTATCTCCCGATATACTTCTTTATGGTGAAGCTACTTCCGGTGGGCTGGAGTTGCTCTTGGGTGCCAATACGGATGCTTTTCCGGAGTTTCAACCTGATAAGTTATCTAAGGAGACAAAAAGATACGGTTGAAGTTTTCTGTCGAGCCTGGTCTGAAGATTTGGCTGTACAAAGAGCCAAGAGAGTCGATCGCTTGAACGCGAACGGCAATCTAGCTCAACTCCAGGAGCTGGCTCCTGGTGACACGGTATTCCGAGTCAAAAAAAATGGTCTCGGCAGAACTAAAGCTACCGGTCCCTATATTTTCGACAGTATGAAAGGAAATATGGTCAGCCTATCCGAAGTCCGTCATCTCATACCCCTTCATCAAGTTCGTTTATGTGGTGTAACTCCTACCGGTAATCCTGGATGTTGTCCCGATCCACCGGATCTTCATGGTCTCCTTGCTGGACCGAGGAGAGAACTGAAGGAAGGATCCCTTGTATTGTTTATTACTCCTGAGTGGGAAACTGTAGATGACGGTTCAGAAGTCGAAATTACTTCTTACGATGTTGGTAGGTTGGTGAAGAATGACTATCCAAACATTTGGATACGTCGTTTTTATATTGATGAATACGGCCGATGGAAAGATTGGAAAAATCCGAAGGTTGTCAATGTTCATTCATCCCAGATAATTGCTTCTATTTCACTTACTAGCCAAGCAAAACTCTCCGCAATTACTAAGTCCAGGCTGTCCAAGGCTGGAATACCTATTGAGTAATCTACAGGAAGTCTTCCTGGGGGGGCGTAGAAGTAAGACTATTGCATTCAGCCTTAGCATACTGTGTTCATGTAACTTGCATGTACAAGACGTGCGCTTTTAAGACACGTCTGGCGTCTCGTCTCCCCTTTTATTGCAGTCTACTTATTACTCATCTTTTACGCTTTACATTAGACCAACCGGTTCTGGTTGTGATAACCAAGTATGACTCCAAACCCTAAGAGAGCACGCGTCCGTTCAAGCCACGACGTGCTTGGCGCGCGCACTGGTGCGTCTATCTTGCTCTGTCACTCCTTCATGCGTCCCCACTCATCCCTAATAACACTACCTTGGTCCCAACCTGAATCTTCAGGTAGTACGACTGGAGCCAATACTATTCACTCGTTCTCACATACAAATTTTTCGTCAAAAGCTCTGGTTAATCGTATTCAGAGCTCGATGCGCGCCGCTCTACTTTTCTTCTCTGCATATCGTACTATTTCACATACTGAAATAGTCTGGATACTGCACGAGTTGAAAATGTACCAGTGGCGATTGTACGAGATCTAACTGCGTCAAATTCAGTTGCTTTGCGTGCCACTCTATGAACAGAATCTGTATGTAATGACACTGTACGAGCTGGCCCTGTACCAAGTGCAACAGGACTGAACGACACCAAATCACCTGACATAGACTCAATTGAAACTGTACGAGTTGACACTATACGAGCCACAACTGTACGAACGCCACAACCTTGAACTGCGTTGTATCGATAAGCTCGGTACCAATATGAATACTATGTGCGAGGAGGTTCTGAAAGGTTGTGGTTCTAGTGAATGTAAATCACACTGATGAGAACTGAGGATATATGTTTATGGGCGAGCGCTCCTAGAGACAGGCGCCACGCAGACAGGCTCCACCAGAGCCCGTGCGGTGACGTGACGCCATCTGTGACGTGACGTGCGCTCGTTGCCTCCCACAACCTATTCAATTATGCTGCTCCAGTTGATCTCTTTGTAGCTCCCCTCATTCTCAGTTTTTACCTCTCGTACACTTGTCTATCTTACGTTGTCAATTCTAACATGGCGACACCTGGGAGATTCAATGCGAATCTTCTACCTTCTGCGGATGACTACTATGACAACGCTATTTATGAGGTTGTTCTGTCGGTGGTGCAGAGTGAGAATATGGCCGTCCTCAAGCAACAACTTGAAACTTATCGTCGCAAGCGCACCAATGCCTTGAATGCTATCAAGGACTTACGTCAGAGAATGGCTGATGAGGACCTCGGGGATGATGAGGGCAATGCTGAGACCCTGCAGTCTCTGAGTCATCAATGGCAAGATATGAACCTGGCCGTTAAGTCCCTGGAAGACCTCGAAGAGTATTATGAACATCTCTTGGTTCTTGGCACTGAGATAGTACGTCCGTCGAGGTTGAGGCCGCCAGAGGTTCCCTCCGAGCAGGCTCAGAGAACATCTCCGGTAGCCCCGCCTATATCTCCTCTAGGCCATCACTCTGCTCCTGATCCGGGAGGTCAAGTTCTTGGTGAGCAAGGGGCTCGGACTGTATTAACGGCTCCGTTCGTGACTCCAATGAGCACTGTTGGCCACGTATCGGCCGGTGCTACTCTTCCAAGAGCAAGCGAAAGACGACGCCCAGATTCGAGACAGGTATCGAAGGTGGACCTCCCCGAGCTTGTCGAAAAGTTTTCCTTACAACATCACCTTACTGTCTGCAAGGCGATGATGGTCGAGGCGGAGCTGGGGGACTACGTGCAGGGTCTTTTTGAGCCCTTCCCGAATCTTCGGTTCAGTGTGGTAAACCGCATTTTGACATCGCTCAAAGGTGTTGGAGATGTCCACTCTCTTGCAACATCAACGGCTGAGCAACAAAGTCATAACTGGTCGGCTATTCGACAGGTTTTGTTGTCGACCTTTGCAAAAAGGGAGACTCTATTGATGGAGCTGAGGGCGATGGTAGGCTCTATGAAGTACAGTAACATCGATAAGTTCTGCGCTGAGGTGCGTAAGGTCTACGCAATGCTGGTCCGTCTATTTGGGGCTGACAACCAGTACGAGATTCGAGGCTTCGTGGAAGCCATGGTAGCGAGATTACTAGCTAGTCGAGCCTCGGCTCTTATCTCAGAAATTCACAATACAGCTCATCTACAGTCCTATACCCCCGATTGGCCTTTGGTACTTCCTTTCGATGGTGTCGAAGCGTCTGTTTTGGGAGTGTTGAATCGTTTAGAACGACAAGAAGTTGCTGCTCGAGCTTTGACAAGCAAAGGGTTGAGTGCCAGTGCGGAGGTCGCAGCTGCTGCTATTCCACCCAGACCGGGCAAGGGAGGCTCTCTGTCTTCTAACGCTCCGACGCAGGGCACGGCGGTGCGAGAATGGTGTGCTCGCTACCCAGCGGATTCTCTCATCAAGGTGTTCGATTTATGGGGCGATGCATTGAAGCAGAAGATACCCGATATGCTGGACTCTTTCGCCATGCGTGGGCGCAAGAAGCGGTTCCCGTTATTCCGCATAGTCGCTCTGCCGAAGGATTGCGATAGAGACTCCCTTGTGAATAAGCTCAAAGAAGAAGGGGTGCGTGCTGACGTCTTTGCCCCTTTTACGTGAGCCCTGAGCAGGGCTGAAAACTGCTCATAGTTTCGCTGGGTCCTGAGCACGACGGTAAACTACTCTCTGGTGTGAGCGCTGCTGGTCTGTCCGATGTCTGTCATCTACCGTCCTTCCCGGTCGAGCACTCTGGTTCGGTGGAGCCGACGGCATTATGGCTCCGATGCCTCGTAGGCGCACCTGACGGCAACCACGTAACTGTTTCTGCCTTGGTCGATACTGGGGCTGGCCTGAACTTCTGCGTCACTCCCGGAGGCGCTCTCGACTTACAGGTCCTAGATGAAGGGTCTTGTTCTATCCCGATACGTTTGGCCGACGGCTCGGTCCGCAAGGTCGTCACTTGGGTGACCCTAGAGGTCTCGGTGTATCTACGTGACGGCACGCTGACTCCAAAGAGACCTCACCGTTTTCATGTTCTCGAAGGCACAGGGTTGAGCTCACTGCAGAACGAGCCAGTTCTTATCGCTGGTCGTAGGCTGCTGGCCGATCTCAAGGTGGCCGTTTTGACTGACCCTCTGAGGGTGCAGCTCGATGGACAAGAGGTCTTATGCATTGAATCTTGTGAGAGCGTTGGCACCGTTGAAAATGTCTGCTTGGCGCTGACAGCCGATCATCAAACCGAAGACCCGTCCGGACCTCCGATTGGGGAGAGAAGAGTTCTAGAGTCAGCGGAAGGTGCCTCTGACGAATATGTAGTTATCCCATTCCAGAAAGTTCCGCCGATCTGTACTCGATTGTTGCATGACCTTGTTGCTCGGTCGTGGCAACCAATGCGGAGCTGCCCAGGTTGGGAAGCTAGGTTACGGCCCCTCCGAACGGACGAGCTGCCGGATAATGCTGCGCAGACCTATGTCTTCGAACTAAGATGCAACAGCGTTCGTAGAGGTCATTCACCAGCGGTACCCTCCTCGGCTCGTAGGATGGCCGCGCACGCTTATGAACGTCTCACCGACACTGAGAAGATCGCCTTTGACAAGCTCGTCGCTAACTATGAACAACGCCGATGGTGGACACGCTGCGACGACTCCAGTCTCAAGATGTTGGCATGCAAAGAGTATGTTCTTGATCCTTCCATCGTTTTTATGGTTGCTGCCCGTCGTCGGAAAGCCCGTCTGGTGGTAGACTTACGCAAGGCAAACCAACAACTAGGAACGAAGGGGAGCAGTCCGTCAACCGACGTACCGACTTGCATCGCGGCGGTGAGGCTGTATTCTTCTGCCTGCACCCTATTACTAGATGCGGCACAGGCCTTCTACAAGTTGAGATGGTTGAATATGAAGGCCTTACTTCTAGTTAAAGACCGACTCTACCTATCTGATAGGTGTGTGTTTGGAATTACTACAGGCCCAGGAAGCCTGTCCCATACGTTGGGGGCTCTGGCGGAAGCATTCCGCGTAGTTTGCAGTGATGACTTTCGTCTACTTCTCAACGACTTTGTCGACGACCTACTGTGTGCAGGAAAAGACGCGGCAAAGGCCGTGTGTTGGCTCATTTATGTGATGGCGAAGTGTGGATTCACGGTAGGAGCGTCGAAGTTTCAACCGATGGCCACGGCAAGAATGAAACTCCTGGTTGCAACGATACTCAGTAATCTTGGTCTCCCTAAGACTCTCTTTGTTTGGCAGGATTCGGTCAACCTGTTGGGATGTGTATTATCCTATGATGAATCCCAGGGTGGGGAGTCTCTGGTGGTGGCTTGTGAACGACAGGACCGACTGCGGACGGCACGGTCACAAGCACAGTATCTGCTATCAGCTCTAGCAAATGTCCACCGCTCCGATAAGGCTTTGACGAAGGCCTTCATATTCTCTTGTGGTGGTAATCTGGCTTATGATAGCTGTGGCGTTCATGCGGAGGAACGCGCTGTAGCGGCGGCTCTGCGAAGCTGCTTCGCAAAGGCATATGCGAAGATTGGTTGGCGCTCGCCCTGCGACCTGAAATTGCTTGATGAGCCACGCCGAGCAGCTGTCCGGGGTCTAGCCGAATGGGTGCTGGAGCTTACTACTGATAAAGTCCTCGGTGAACCATGTTCTCATCGTACCCCAGTTCGTCATGACTTGGATCCTATTACGCTCGAAGTGGTCTCCGATGCTTCAGCCACGGGAGCCGGTTAGTTTATAGCTATTGTGGGCAAACTCGGAGAAAGGCATGTCTTGGCCACAGGTGCATGGCGTTTCACTACAGCTCAGCGAGTGTATCATAGCAATCGGCGTGAACTAGCGGTATGCTGCAAGGCTGTTCAAGCTGCTGCCGATCTTCTGAGCCACTTTGTCTCCAAGAGTTCCCACGTCCCTCCTATTCACCTGGTCGTACGCTCTGATAATCGTCCCACGGTGGCTTGGCTACAAGGTGAAGGAGCGGTGTCACGTTCATCCTTGGAACGACGGGCAGTGCTACGGACGTTAAATGCTCTCAAGGACGAGTTAGACTTTTTGAGGTCCCTCAGTCGTACAAGCCCTGGGAAAGGTGTTGTCATCGAGCACATTGCAGGTGTGGCGAACTCGGAAGCCGACCGTTTGTCTCGATTGTTTGAGAGATTAGTACCACTCGAGAGCGGTAAGAAGATCAGTTTAGCAGACGCTCTGGCGGGTGGTCAAGATCTGTTGCCGGAAACTGCCGAGTACCCCGACCTTTTTCAAGAGCCCGACACCGACGGCAAAGGATTGTCTTGGGTGATGAGCGAGGCCGACGATAGAATGAGGTAGATGCTTTCCAATTACTACCTCTCTTCGGTCCAGGTTATTTTTCACTTGCTACTGCTACTGCCGACGTTGCCCTGCAAGGCCCCTTGGTGGCGTCAGAAGATCGTTCGCAACCAGAACCTATCATCACCAGCCTATGCCATCGTAACTGGGATGTAAACGGTGTGCAGTCCGACTTCAACTTTCTTCGCCAAGTCTTTCGAGCAATGCGACCTAAGAATCACTTACGGCGTCTGTTCTTAGCTCTCAGACCAGACTCGGTGGTGAGAGAGGAGGTGCGGGTATGCCTTGTTCGAGCGCTACAGCAAGACATGGACCCTATCAAGCTGAACGTGGCGGGTCCTTATGTTCAGGATGAGCACGGTATTTACTGCTTTCGGAACGGGAGCCCGGATGGCGGTTATGTGCTCCTTCCTTTGCTACCTAAGGGTGATGAGCGGTGCACCCCATTTAGACGCAAGCTGTTATTGGGCGCTCACCGTCAATCGGCCCATGGTGGTATCGGCTCTACTGTTTCCAGAATAAGCTACACGTTCCATCTACCAGGCTTACGATGTGACTGCAAGAGGCTCATTAGATATTGCTACTGTTGTCAGTTGCAACGCGCGCGTAGAGCGTGGCAGCAGCTACCTGGCCTGGCTGACTCCCGAAAGGAGCAGTTAAAGTGGGAACCTCACCACGACGTCTATATTGACTTCCCCCACCTGGGAGAGGTGCGCGGATATCAGGGCTCGACTACTATCCTAACGGTGTATTGCCTGGCTACTGGTCACTCGAGTTGGATACCTTGTGAGGAGACCTTGGATGACTTATTACAAGGATTACGACGCGTGCAAGCGCAAGAAGGCGGACTGGCAGTCATACGCTGTGATAAAGCTAGCTATTTCCGGTCTAGCAAATTTGAGCAAGAGGTCTCCAGACAATTGGGAGGCAAGGTTATGCTGATGAAAGCCCGCTCTCCCTGGCTCAGTGGTGGTGGAGAGCGCTTACATGCGCTAGGCTTGCGGATCGCCAGGGTCCTATTACGAGGACAAACGGGCGTGGCTGCCGCTGGCAGCGGTAGACGTCGACGCAGAAAAGCTGACTGCGATTCAGTCGATCTTGAAGAAATCTGTCGAGAAGTGACGCTGCTATTGAACACGAGGCCGTTAGATTTCACCAACTCGGAGGATGCCTCGGGTGAGCTATCTATCGTTACCCCCGACTCTTTGGCACGAGGGTTTACTCGGAAGACAGGGTGCCTAGCGATAGCCTCGTCCAGTGCACCCATTGCTGCACGAATACGGTCCGTCCGGACGTTTTTTCTGGCCCGTATCTTCGGTAACATGCGTCAGGCGGTAGCGAAGTCGTTTGGTTACAAGTCCGCCCGGGGTAAGTCCCTGACTTTGGCAGTGGGTGATGCCGTGCTGATCTATCGCCCTGGTAAGAAGATATCCCCTGCGTTTCGTATGGGAAGGGTGACCGCTTTGGCTGCCGGGCAGCGTTCGGTTACTGTCCGACTGATGGATGGATCCGAGTCAGTACAGCATCACTACAATGTGGTTAAGTTATTGAGAGATCCTGCCCTGTCGCAGCAGGGAGGGCATGATGAGAACTGAGGATATATGTTTATGGGCGAGCGCTCCTAGAGACAGGCGCCACGCAGACAGGCTCCACCAGAGCCCGTGCGGTGACGTGACGCCATCTGTGACGTGACGTGCGCTCGTTGCCTCCCACAACCTATTCAATTATGCTGCTCCAGTTGATCTCTTTGTAGCTCCCCTCATTCTCAGTTTTTACCTCTCGTACACTTGTCTATCTTACGTTGTCAATTCTAACACACGCAGCAGTCGGACGGCAGCAGATGAGTCGCAAAGGGTTGAGCCTTGAAGTAGGCAAATGTGCTTGTTTATAATATTTTCAAGTTATCGCGAACGGTTCGCGGAACAATAAGCAAAGTCGTCATGACAATCGTTCACCCAAAACCATTGCGAGGTATCAACCCTGCGAGCTCGAATACAATGGTCACCCCGCTTGACCCAACGCCACACAGACATAAGAGTACAAAGTTTATTTTATTCGGCAAGTGACTAACTCCGACCGTTACATCATTACTATGTCCCCGTCAGTGATTCTTTCGTATCGTGAGTTATGACTTGTAAGTGCTTGATTCACTGCTGACGCACCACCGGATCTCATCAACTTCGGATTTGGCTTGATAACGAGTGGCGCAGAGCTCTGCCCTATCTTTTCACTAGTTGCCCTGTACTAACGACTACTGCCCTTTCCCGCCACTTCCTGGCAATTCGGCTACTTGCCCCTGAAATCTCTCAAATGTGGGCGAACGGCGTGGGTGCCCTTCGAAACTGACAACAGCCCTGTAAAGCCGGATTCACCAGGAATTTCCTGGCAGGAAAGGGAGTAACTTGGCGAGCATCATTATCATCAGCATCATAATGCTACAACAGACCATGATAGTAAAGTCGATGAATATCCCTATGATTATTTTGATAGTTGGACTTGAAGATCAATGATATGACTCATGACTCATGAGTCATGAGGATGTTCTGGTGTAGAGGTAGGAGATTATTCGCAAAACGAGTTAAGAAGGATCTTCAGGATCTCCATCGGCACCTTATTTTCCCGGATCAATTGAATACTACTATCACTGTGATGCAATGATCATTGTTGTACTAACATTTTGGATGATGATGACCGATAGTGCAAGATCTGCTGGCTCTAGGAAGAACATTAGATTGGTATTCTCATTATGTCGTGGTCCGGATTTATAAGATAGTATTAAAGGTAGGTACGTCAGATTTTGTGATATTTCTGCCTGGGAGAAATACATCGACTCTGACCGAGTCGATGAACCGGAGTTATTCCATTAACAGACGTAAAATGCGTCTCAGTGGAGCCCCACAATTACGGTGAGTGCGAAGCACTCCTCTGACACAACTGTCCTGACCCCCTGGTCTGTGTGACGCTACGAACAAGGCTGAGTACGTCACGATTGAGTACATCGAGCTAGAATCTAAGATGTAAAGTCGTTCTGTCTTTGTCTACTACACTTTATAAATGCATTAGTGTAGGCACGGTTTGTTTCCACCAATTTTTTTTAACCTTCCTACAGGGGAGGCTGGTAGCGGCTAACCCAAAGAGGCGTTGTAGTGAGCACCAGCTCGTTGCCTTCAGATGCTAATGCACTGCCAGACGCGGTCTCACCCAACTCCCTCGTGGAAGAACACCACTCAACTGAGTGACTGAAAACTCTGCCCTGTTCTAAACTAAGTAGCTGTTGTGTTTACTATCCCAGGCGAAACGGTGCGAGAATTTTACAGGATATAGTTATATTCTTACTCTATTTATTGAAGCGTGTGGTGTGTTTTCATATATCCAGTACTATTCCGTTCCGGTTTCCGGATTTAACCCATCTGGTTGGGATATGCTTCCGCACGTTAACATAAGTCACACCGGGTAACAACCTCTCAGCATACTGCTCAGGAACCTGGTTCTGATTTTACCCATTTGCGAAGCCTTTGATGTGGGGCTTCTGCACCCTCGTGGTCGTGATTA